CCAAGGACATGCTATCAACACAGGTGCAGGACTTGGAATTAGCCATGGTTTTGTACTTTTCCATTTTCTAGCAGCTAAATTCCCAACATGTCCCTGCAGGGCCCTACGAGAACCGCACGGTGTTCGAGACGCTGGACATCGGCTGGCAGCTGCTCAGGATCTTCCCCAAGGAGATGCTCAAGAGGATCCCCCAGAGCACCCTGGCTGAGTTCTACCCTCGGGATGCCAAGCACTAGCCCGGCTCCTCGTGCCCCTGCTCTGTGGTTTGGTTTCCTTTTCCATGTGTTGGTGTTTCCCTGTCGCCCTCCCAGCTCCACCCAGCAGCAGGTGACACTTGTGGCGGTGTTCCCAACTGAGAGCAGTTTGGAAAATTATCCCTTCTCCCACAGGCTGCATCTCCAGGAGGATGCTGTGAAAATGTGCAATAGCCACCGTGAGGTTTGGGCTTTGAAATGAGCTTTTTGTGGGGTTCTCAAGGCTCTGAGTGTGACCAGAAATTGCAAATCTTCACTTTGAAACTGTGGGTTAGAAAACATAAAAGAAGAAATGTGACTTGCATTCCTTGGTGGCAACAAATGTGACAACGTTCCTTGGTGAAAAATGCAGATTTTTAACCAGGGCTGCACATTCTGAAAGGATGTGGAAGTGACACTTCCAGCAAAGGTGGCAAAGTCCTTGTCCTTTCAGAGGACAAAAGCCAGTGAGGTGCTACCTGAAACTCGCAGGGTAAAGCTTAATTATTGAACTGCAGGTTTTAAATTGAAGTTTGCAGAGTAAATTTCCTCCTTCGCCCTCTTTTGGTTGGATTCTGGAGATGCCAAACAGAACCAGCAGCTCAGTTTGGGCTCAGAATTGTCACCACAGCTGTTGGTGGCTCAAGGCTTTGTGCTGCTGCTGAGGGGAATCCTGAGAGCTGAAAACCAACCTAAAACCTGGCCTAGGTCTGCTGGTGTGAGCTCAGCTTTTAAACCATGGCCTGCACACACAAGGCAACAGGAGTTGATAGAAAAGGCAGCTGTTAATGTGAGAAGGGATATTTCCAACCTGCTCCAGGTGTGCCATGGCTGGAGCTGTTGTGGTTTGCACTCCAGGCACAGATTTGCCTCAGCATTCCCAAACTCTGCAGTCCTGGCTGGGCAATTCCGTGTTGTTCCTTTTCCAACGGGTTCAGCCGAGGCTCTGGGCCTGCTGCTGCTGCTGCTGGCACAATTCCATCAATTCCTTGCTTTTTCCAGGCTTTCCTGTAGTCTGAGCCCTGGGCTGGCTCAGCAGAGCATGTTGCACCTCCCTGCAGTGTCTGGGAAGGTGCTAACATGACTGGAATGTGCAAATTCCAGCTTTCCCTGACGTCCCCTGTGCAGTTCTCTGGTTTGTCCCGTGTTCTCTGTGGCTGCAGCAGCGACCTGATTCCAGTGCATTCCACCCAAAGCTGTGTCCAGTCTCTTTTTCCTGAGGTCAGGATGGGAGGGCAGAAGCCTTGGCATGAAAACACTTTAATGTAGAGAAATCTCTAAATAAATTAAATATGGAAGGTGTTAAACAAACGGGAGCTTTGGTGGTGAAAATTCACTTGGGGTGTTCCTGGGTGTGGATTCAGGGTCACTGGAGCCACCCCCACATTGTCCCTGAGGAGGAGGAGGAGGAGGGTTTGACCTTCAGCCCCAGTCACGGGGAAAGGCTTTGCAGGAATGTGCAGGGAATGTGATCCCTCTGTGCTCACCTCCCTCCCTCCCTCTGCTGGGGGAGGCTTGGGAACCTCAAACTCCTGGAAAATGAGCTCAGGCCCCATTTGGGCTGGGGGTTTGGGTGTGGGGGTCAGTCAGGGAGCCCACCCCTTCATCACCCTGGGCAGGGTTAGGAGAGACCCCGGCCCAGGGGGGGACAGACTGAGCCTGCACAGGGCCCTGCAAACCCAGGAGTGGGCAAAGCAAAGCCTGGAATAGGCAAATCAGACCCAGGAATGAGCAAACCTGGAATGGGCAAATCAAACCAAACCCAGGAATGAGCAAACCTGGAATTGGCAAACCAAGCCCAGGAATGGGCAAATCAAACCCAGGAATCACCAAACCAGACCTAGGAATGAACAAACCAAACCCAGGAATGGGCAAATCAAACCCAGGAATCACCAGACCTAGGAATGAACAAACCAAACCCAGGAATGAGCAAACCTGGAATGGGCAAACCAAGCCCAAGAATGGGCAAATCAAACCCAGGAATCACCAAACCAGACCTAGGAATGAACAAACCAAACCCAGGAATGAGCAAACCTGGAATGGGCAAATCAAACCAAACCCAGGCATGGGCAAACATAGGAATGACCACACCAGGAATGGGCAAATCAAAACCAGGAATGGCCTGGGCAAACCCAAGAATGAACAAAAGCAGGAATGAGCAAACCAGGAATGACCAAGTCAAACCTGGAAATGAACAAAACCAGGAATGAGCAAACCAAACCCAGGGATGGCAAATGTAGAAATGAACAAACCCAAGAATGGGCGAAACCAGGAATGGCCAAAGTAAACCCAAGGATGGCGAATCTGGGAATGGGCAAGCCCAAAAATAAAACCAGGAATGCCCAAACCAAGCCTGGGAATGGGAAGCTGAAGAGTGACAAAGCCAAGAAAAAACAACCCAAACCCAGGAATGAACAAAACCAGGAATGGCTAAACCAAACCTGGAATGAACAAACCCAGGAATGAACAAATCAAACCTGGAATGAACAAA